TCTTAACTTTCTAATTAATATTTTTACGCATATTATGTCAATTTTCTTAGTGATAACAAGCCAGATTAACGCCAGGTTAATTTGAGTGGTTGGTCATGTAGCCTCCATTCATTTCTATCATGGGACGAGTCGGTATTTATTTTGCTTTATAGTTTCTTGCAGCGGAGTTCATTGGGTCGAGTGGCAATATCCCTACACCGAATCGGTCAGCACTCGAATTCACATTCCCTTAGATCTCTTGAAAAAGCGCCTTCTCGACACTGAGCTTGATGATATGACAAGAAGTCAATTGTCACTCTCACCTCTGCATCGCAGCGCCTCCTCCTCCTCCACCACCCCTTCCACTATCTCTCAATTCCAATCTGCAGAAGTGGTCACACTTGCCTGCTCTAACAACTGCAGAATCGCTATTGCTTGTATTGCCGATCCTATGTCTCCTCTATTGATCGCAATTTATGAGTATGAGTCTACCGGTAAGTCTGCTAGGGTTGGGTCTGTTGATCGTTTGAAACTTTTACATTACTTTAAAATTCGATTGATAGGCAATTTCATTTAATTCAGTGTCATAAATTTTTTTCATCACACTACTTGTCTTGTGCTTGAAAATTCGTTTTAATAACTTATAGTTTTTCTTGCTTGCTGTGATCAATTTCTCGAAAATTAACTCTTATTTTAGGCCTGACATTACATCAGATCAGTGACTATTGTTTTTTTTCTCAACAGGTGGTTCGGAATGGTTGTTGGAAGATATCATCATCCCTTCTACGGCTCTTCGTCCACATGATATGGCTAATGCTGAGGTAACTGCATTTCTCTTTATTTTTCGTTTCGTATTACTTCATCCACTAGTTTGTGTTTTTTAGTTTTTTTTTATTCTGGAAATTTATACCAAATGGCAGGCATCTTGCTAGTTATCATTAGCCCTTTAATTGACTTCAGGCTTCACAGAGGGGAGGAGGAACATTAGAGTGAAAAAATCGAGAGGTGAGGGAACAAAAAAGTGTTTCAAAGATGTAAAAGAGACAGACATAAAGGTAGAAAAAAGGTGAGGTGAGTACTGTGGAAGTGGTCGAATATGACATACAGTGGGGTGATGGCAGTTTGAAGTCAGAAGTCAACTGCCGGTTAATAGACTTTTTTGCCGTATGTGTATATGTTGCCCAGGGTGCACCACGTGGAGGTAAGTGTATCGCACACCCCAGAATTTCAAAAAAATAAATAAAGTGTGAACAAAGACAGCCTCAAGTCTCAAAGAATGTCTTGGTTTATTTTTTCATTCTTTTGACGTAATGTAATGCTTTGGTATTTCCTTTTATTGTGATGTTTCTCTTTGTATTCCCTACTTTGATGTTTGATGCGGGGTCGCAACTAATGTATCCAGCTATTTTGCATTTCTATTAAGGTGTTGTTGAGTCTGATAAATCAACACCATAGTTCCTCTTTATTTCCCCTTCTAATGCACTTAAA